TATATATATATATATATATATATAAAAGGGCTGCTTTTATCTATAGCATCGCTCATCCTATAAGGCTTAAAGCTCCATTCAGTCTGACAACCGGAGAAGATGCAAACAGATGATAAACGTATGATAAAAACGCAACAGGACAGATGGTGGAGAGTTGTGTCTTTTAACTGCACAACGCGGCTGCTGTTAGTAAATGTTATGAACTCCTCTGTGCATATGCTGGCATTTAAGCTGAGGCATTTGATAAAAATGAGAACGCAAAGAAGAGAGGAATGTGCTGCTTTAACGACAGATTGAAAAAGTGTCTTTTTGTCGTCCCGCATTGCCTCTAAAGGAAGTAGCATGTTGCCATCTTAAACGGTAACGTTTTCATGTGTCGCAGCAACAAATCTCATCCGAAGTCGCTTGACGTCGTGTCAAAGGCCAGAGAGGGAACATTTGAGTCTGACCTCCATCCGTCGCGCCGCATGTAGCTGAAGGCGCCGTCGATGAGGCTGGCGGTGAACTGCCCTCCCGTGATGAAGAGGGTGTTAACGGTCACCAGCTGACCTCTGAGGTGCGGCGGAGAGGCTTCGGCGATGTACACGGGCACCGTCATGGAGGCGATCCCTACACAAGGAGACACAAAGCAGGAGTTACAGGAGGAACAGAGAATCAGCATGACGAGCGGAGGAAGCTTTTCTGTTTGTTCACAGACGCGGTTAGCATGTACTCGTGTAGATCTTCTGGATCACTTTGAGCCATCATGGTGGCGGTCATACCCAAAGCTTCGGAGTTTGGAGAGAAATTGTTTTGTTTTGTTTTTTGCTGTGTTCTTTGGACACTATTTTGAAGCTGAATCTCAGTTTTGTCCCAAGTCAGACTGCCACCGTCTGTTCCTTTGTCGCATGTCTTTTGCCCCTGGCTGCTCACAGAGAAATAAAGATCACTTGTGCCGAAAAAATTCTTTGAAAAAAACAAACAAAAAAAGGCGCTTGGATTAATCAAGGTAGTATGTAGCCTACTCACTGTAACATGAATTATCCTTCCACCGAAGAGAGACCAGTCAGCATTTCTAAATTACGTTTGAAACAAAATGGCATCTTTTTAAACCTTCCTGAATATGACGACCTGGAAAACTGACATGTTTGGTTTGAGTCAATAAAAAAAGAATTTTTCAAACTTATAAAGTAGAGCATAGTGATTAATCACAGTGCTAGAGTGTGATTCATCTGGTTACAGTCTTTTAAATCGACTGGCAGTGCTGGCTTTAAACTATCTGAACTCGTTTTCATAGACCTTGAACCTACACACAGCCCTGCTTATTTAACACAACCTTGACACGATACTCATACAGTGATCCTAAATAGGGAGAACATTTAGAAAGCCAAAACATTTCTATTAAAAAAAAAAAAAAAAATCACACACTATGGTGACATAACCCTCCGAACAGTCTGTTTGGGGCTGGCAGTGTGCCGTAAGACTGATGCTCTCTGCAGCAGGCTTCTCTATTAATAGAGAGCCAGAGCTTTCTGCACCCTCCTCCCTCTGTCTCCTCCCCTCTTCTACCTCTTGCCAACACCCTGCCCTAAACTGCCGCCATGACTACGTGGCTAGCCGTTGCCATGGAGACCTCTTGCAGCAGGGGGAACCAGCCACACTGTCTCCAAGCTTGCACCACACTGTGGCAGCTCTAGGAAGGCCAATCAATAACCAAGAGAAGGGCGTACATGCATGAGATTTTTTTTGTGTGTTTTTGTTAAGTGCTGATTAAAAACTTCCACGTACAGAACATCAGAAACATTGAGTTGGTCGACAAAAAGAAAAAAAAAAGGGGAGGGGGGAAGAAAGGATCCCCAACAACAATGCTGTGTAGTCAAGTTTCAGGATGGTGTTCGGTTACATAAAAACGATAGTTTCTGAGTGAGCCTCTGATTGCATAAACATGATTTTAGGAATTGCGGCGCAGCTTTTATCTTTGTTAATGTCTGATGGCGGAAATGCGAGCTGCAGATCATTATCGGAATCTAATTAAACACTTTAACACAAAGCTTGTCTGCTCAGGACAACATGGTGGAAATCTATTCATAAGGTTTAGGAAGACAGCTAAAGATCCGAGACTAAAGTTAACAAGAATGAAAGCAAGAAAAGAGAAAACATGGAAGACAAGCTTAGAATTTAGGAGGAGAGTAATCTTGATCTGTCATGTGCCTGATAACACACACACAGGTATATAGCTACACTCAAAGTGTGCAATACCTCAGCAATCAGCTACGTTTTTTTTTATGAAGAAAGATGTGTATGAAGTGCAGCGTTTTCACAAGTGATCGTCCGGTAGACTCGATTAGATTGGGGATCAAAATTGCAACGTTGCAGTTCGCTTTCGTTTAGCACTGTGTCAAACAAAACAAATCCTTTAGAAAAACTTGTTCAACTCCTCGCCTGTGGTGGCGCTGCAGCAAGAACCACTGAAAAAATCTTCCGAAGAAGACGCTGAGCACAACTTCCTTCTTCCAATGTAAACAAAAGCACAGCGGTGTCAAATTTTAGCAGTTGTAGGATTTCTCTTTCGTCTTTGGAAAAAAGATCACAAGCCATTTCTCCCGCCAGTGCTGGACTTGTGGGTTTGTTTTGGTTGCATTTACCCAGAATGCTATGGGCTATAGTCTGCTTCCTGGTTTTGGAGCGCTCTCTGTTCTGCTTGGCACCTATATCTACATTCAAACTACATCAGAGTTCACTTCAGTCCTAGGTCTTTGGACCAGAGTTCACTTTTGTCAGAGTCCGACTGCACATTTGCAGCTCCACAACCGATTAAAGTGGACTGAACAAGGCCAGTGTGAATGCACCCTATAAAATCCAACATCTTTTGTTCACACATACCTGCAGATGCATTCATGTGTTGATCAGGATCACGCTAAATTTGACCCATAGGGCTACCTAAGGTTTAAAAAAAGAGGCTGAAAAAGAGGCTTAGTGCTGTGAAAAAGAAAATACTTTTTTCACTCGTCTTTCCTTCCTCTATTAAATTTCAGTCTTAGACAAACCTTGTAAAGATCTCAAGAAGATCGATACATAATCTTGTATTAAAGTTAACAATTTTAAACCTATAAAAATCTCAATATTACTTCCAGCCATAACAGTTTTTCTCTCATTCCTAACTTTGTTTCCCTCGGGTACCTTGGCTATTAGCAACGAGAAGATGCCCATCGACCAACAGCTTTATAGCTTCTGTTGATGGCAAACCTCGACATAAAGAGAGTTTCTGACCTTCATTTAGCTTTTAAGACACACACACACACACACACACACACACACACACACACACACACACACAAAACTGTGAACACACATTGTTTTTTCCTTATTATCCTTGCCGTGGTGATGGAATTGCCTTGGTAATAAACGCATCGCATTAGTCCCGAGTTCTCTGGCATTAGTTTAATTGGCTCTGAACAGAGCTGGCAAACTTTCGCCCATAAACTGGAAAAAGACTATTTGAATAAGTTCCTTCATCGGCAGCCAATCACTCTTGACATTTACCCGGATCTGAGTCTCTGACCCATCTTGTTTTGATAATCTGGCCAATGGGATTACACATTTTAAATATTGAAGAGCTCTTAAGGTCAAATACATTGATCATGTTGGTTGGCTTTATTAGGAAGATATACCATACATGATTACATCATTATTTCATTGTCAAATGTCCAATAAACAATGGCACAACAAGTATCAAACACTTGTTTGCTTCAGAGCTCCAATGTGGAAACCATCTGACATCAAAGTTGCAAGCAACATAAAATCTCAAATAAAATATCCCTTGACTTTTAACCCTCTGAGTCCTAAGTTTCAAATCTCCACCTGGGTGTTTTTTGCTTATTTTAGTTGTATGAAGTTCTTTAAATGTCCTGTGAGTAAATATATTTGCCCATTTATCCATAACAACTGGAACGCTCAATATTAAACGTCTATTGAAAGAGTGTCACATCACTAAACCGAAGAAAAACATAGTCCCTGCTTCGGCGGGAGTCAAATTACCGTAATAACCTGATATCTGAAAAGCCCAACATCGATCCTTTCAGAAATAGTTGGAATTTTTCAGATAGTGCAAAATGTCGTGGAATTACGGTACTGCAAATTTAGCTGAGTTGTCGCCGGCACGTTTGTCCTAGAAGGGTTAAAGAATGGGCTCCCAGTTCAGTGGTTTGAAGGATCTACTTTTCTAGCTTTATGTAACAGATAGCTGTGCTGCAGTACCAATGCTCGCTTTGACAGTAAGAAATGCTGACTAAGTATAAGCTCTGCCACTTTTACACACTCCTGTCACCTCCTTATATTGGGCAAACTTCTTCCAACACGACAGCAACTTTTGGCAATAAGGCATCTAGACATGATGACTCCGGTCATGCCAGACAGGGCTAGTGTCTTGTTAGTTTTACTTGCGAGTACGCATTCAGCAAACGAAAAAAGAAACGGCAGTGATGACCTGATTTTGACTTGCCTTCATGTTTTCCTGTTTTGTCTGCTTTGCTTAAGTTTTGAGTCACCAACATGTTCCCATCAAAGCCTCGTCTGCTGTCATCAACAGCCCATTTGTCTGCTGGTGTGACGGAACGGCTGATGTTGTTACATTTGGTGAGAGATAAATCATCTCAACAGCACGTCCAGCTACAGGTGGTGGCGGGGAAAACATGTCTGATCGTAAAGATAATGCTTGTTGGCAGCAGAGAGAATAAATCCTGTACAGGTTTATTTCAGTGTAACTATAAAAAAAAAAAAAAGAATTGCAGGCTGTAGGGTTACAGCTTTACTGTCAGATATTGTAACTGAAGCTGATGCTGTTGATGACATGTTTAGTACCTTCTTGTAGGTTGTTAATTTCAAAGTCAAGAGTCAAGGAGGAAACTCCACTCCAATGGCCGACTCTACTTTTTTTTCTCTTGCCATTTTGTCTGTTTGCAATGAAGAAACACTATCAAGTTAAACAACTGGATTAGTTTTTTATATCGAGAAGAACGTATCACGCACTGCCAACTTTCAAAAGTCAGACACATCTGCTCACTTTTACGATTCAAATCGCATTTAAAAGTAAAAACATGGAGCGCTGTCATTCATCAGCGTACTGCGGCTGACCGGCAGGACTGAAGAATTCCAAAAAGTAGCTTAACAGCACTCGCTTGAATATAAATTCCTTAGAAAAACAAACAAAAAACTTGTTGCTTTTGGTTTGTTTTTAATGAGTTCTCTGTTCAGCACCAAGGACAGCTCAAGACAGTCTCCCTCACAAACACACACACACACACACACACACACTCACACACACAGATTTTAAAGCCACCGCCTGGTCAGGCTGAGCCTCAAAGCTGCACGGCACACTTAAACCAAAGTATCTGTCTCGGCCTTCTGCAGGCGGCCTGTAGGCATGAAACGCAGAACTCAGCGCTGACTCACTTGATCTGAATGAAGGAGATATTTCACAAAGCCCTCCACGCTCTGATCTCGAGTGAGAAACAAGAATGTTTGGATAAAAATGCAACGGAAGGACAAAATTATTTGTTTTGACGATTTGACTCTGTTTATTGTTCTTTTTTTAAATGGTAACCGTTCCAGTTTAACTCGCAGATAAACAA